ATCCAAATCAAACTCTTCAATCCTGTCATTGAAACATATCCCCTTCACACACAAAAGGAAAAGTAAACGATTACTGCTTGGAAATTGTTTCGAAAAAGCAACTAGCTAGCTAGCTATCTACTTTAGCTAACGAGCGAAAGCTTGTTTAGCCTTAAGAAACGTTTCACGTTCATCTTCATCATAGCTCTAGATTTGCGGAAAAAAAATGTGTTTTGATCTAGAGAAATGGGAATCTTAAACTACATGTCTCCTACCAATACATAAACCAAAAGAGGAAGAAGAAGAAAAAAGAGCCATTTTGAGGCATTGAAACTTTGCTTTAGATACAATGGTCCACTCAAAGGAAATGTGAAGAAGAATACAAAGCATAATGGAGATGGGTGAAAGTTGAAAGTGACCGAACAAGAAAATCACAAAAAATAAAAAACAGAGGAAATTAATGGAGGAACAAAGTTTGGTACAATCAATCAATGTACAAATGCGTTGTATTGGTTGTGGACAATTGGGTCATCATTTGGATGAAGAGATTGGTCCCATTGCTCAAGAACCCTAATTATTTGTCATTTGAATCCACAACCCACTTGTAATTCTATTCTATAATACTCAATAAAGAGACAACTCTTCCTAAAAACATGCTTGAACAGCCAGTAAAGTTAGGTTAATAGGAATGAACTCAGAAGAATTACTAGAATTAAGCATCAGTCAAAGTAAAAAGGACTCCGGATCTGATAGAAATCTACCATTCCAGTTTGGCAGTGGTAAGGGTTGGACAGGTAGGTGGCATCTAGTTTTGTGGTGGGGTTTCAGAGAATTCATATTCATCTCTGATTTTCACTCATTACGTCTCAGTTAAAGAAAAAAGGGGAGTGGGAAGCTATGGCATTGCCATCATGAATGAGGACAGCAACAGTAGCAGGCCTGACAACCTGGGATCCACCCCTCAAACCCTCAACTATGATGTCTCTCATTACTATACAAAACCAAACCACATCCCTTTTCCTGTTCCTTTTTCTGCTTCAGATCTATACCAAACTTCTGCGTTCTTTCTGACATGTGTTTTTAAATCTTCAAATCGATAGCTCTGACTTGGAATACAAGTTCATATCATGTTACAAAAGATGAATACAGTATCACTCAACAGTAGCAGACTCGCAGTATTTGCTACCATACCCTTTATCCAAACCTAAAAAGAAAGAGTATTTTAGCTGCAAAATCGAAACTTGACAATGAGCTAGTATCAGAACGCTTTGAGGCTTCTAAACATTTTTGGTAGAGGAATAATTGTTGTATGAGTTCATACATACTATGGATAGTGTACAGAAGATCTAGAATACAAGCTCAAAAACTTTTCACAATAATGCACATTTATTCACATGATTTTGGCTCAGATAAGCTAGGATGTTCTAGATATAACTGCAAACTCAGAGGTTGGCTGTGCATGGACTTGATGGGGGTGATTATTGGTGGTTGTTGCCATTGTTTGGTATCCGTTGGGATCCATAACTCTGCATCTTTACTTGTACCAGAACTTGGGAGGGTTTGGAAGTAGGCAGTTATTTCCCATTTGCAATCTGTTTATACAAAGATTAAGCTATAGAAATCCTCCAATCTTTTATGACAGGAAAAACCAAAATGCAGAAGAAGATGGACATTTCTAATGATTTTAGTACGAAAACTGCTAAGATTGGTGAACCAAAAGAAAAAAAAAAATGTCTCACCAGTCGGAAGAGTCTTGGTTAGAGGCTCCGTGACAGATAGCTTGATCAAGAATGACCTTAAGGCGAACTCCAGGTCGGAATTTTCGACCTTTGATTTATAAGACTGGTTCACTATGAGCTTGAAAACAAATCTTTCGACTTGGATATTTTCCCCGTTGAAAAATATAACTGCCACTCTCTCCACCAGTCCCTAGTTGAGGAGGAAACCCATGTTCAGACTACTAGTAAATTGCACTAAGGAAGAAGTGGTTAATTAATCAAAGTTCTATAACTATTAAAAACGCTACTATTTCTCTGAGATCAATCAGGTTGGACATGACATATTGCAACTGCTTCACCCAGACACCTACTTTACGTTTTCGATGAACTTTTCTCGGTTCAAGATTCATTGAATAGAGTTATAATTGCAAACACAGATTGTCTAATATTATGAGAATACCAGTAAATAATCAACCCGTACATAGCTTGTAGCCTTAAAACAAGCATGCCAAATCTAATCTTCACATTTAATACTTACAACCACAGAACCCATTAGTTTCCTTCACTGATTCCAACCATAAACAACTCCCAGTCTTCCTAAAACCAAGCAAGTAGTCATGTGAAAGAAATTATCCACTATTCAAGATTGTCCTTGAAAAAGGACCTGGTTTCAATTCTACAAGGCACATGGGTAGACAAGAAATTTAGGACCATTTTTAGCACATAGAGAACAAGAATACAAGTGAATGGCCAACCTTTTGGATGAAAGGAAGTAGCCCTGAAACAGTTGAGTGGATGTAGTCCTGCAGCTCAGGATGACGAGCCCTCTGCACAACCGCATTCATGTACCTTCTTCTTTCAAAAGCACCTTCATAAAAACCCCACCGATAATTAATCATAATTCCCATCGTTTTCTTTTTCTGTTCTTCAATCCATTAATATTGACTAATATCTTTTTTCCCCTGTGATTAAGGGGTGGGGGTGTAAAGGACCAATCTAACAGATGACCAAATAAATTTCAAGCTATTTAGGTTTCCTTCGTAAAGTAACACACTCATTGTGAGATCTCACATCGATTGGAGAGAGAAACGAGTGTCAATGAGGACGCTGGGCCTTGAAGGGGGTGGATTGTGAGATCCCACATCGATTGGAGAGGGGAACGAGTGCCAACGAGGACGCTGAGCCTTGAAGGAGGTAGATTGTGAGATCCCACTTCCGTTGGAGGGAAACTAAGCATCCATTATAAGGGTGTGGAAATCTCTCCTTAGCAGAGGCGTTTTAAAAACCTTGAGGAGAAGCTCGAAATGGAAAGTCCAATGAGGAAAGTATTTGTTACCGGTGGGTTTGGTTGTTACACTCATAAACCAATGTTTCTTAATTACTTGGTAGAAATACAATAAAGAAAACTTTTCATGTAATCACCATCCTCTGGTAATAAATAAAGCAGATAATAGGATCTTACACAAACAAATTAAAGAAAGAATTGCACCAGATGGATAAATGCCTTTGAGGAAGACAATTGATGTAATGGCCACCTCCAAGAACTCAACTAGAATCTGAACCGTCTCACCTGCATAAATAATTAGTTCAATAACAGTGTTATATTTACTCTTATCATCAGGAAACTGAAGTAACTGGGGGCTGGAACAAATAAAGATAAAATGGAGAACCTTGGGGTGTTACTTTATTGTCTCTCGAGTCCATCGGCTAAATAAAGTGAATCGATATGGTTCTTGTACTAGACGTTCAAATTGTCAACATAAACATCTAAGCCAATTACATTAACGATCTTGAGCACGCTCCATTTGACTGCACTAAATAACAAAGGGAACCATTATCTTCAAGCAAGTTACATGAATATCAAATATGGTATAACATTTCAGATGCTTAGATAACAAGTAAACTGGTCTCATTATCTAATCGGTTTGTCTTGTAAAAGTTTAGCTCTGAACAGTGCGTGAGGGTAGCCATCAGTGTTCAATATTATCGATCCACGTCGGCCTACTAATGGGATGCCCTAACACGTTACAAAATTTCGCTAATGTGAGATACAATGTCTTTCCAGTGTCAACAGGTTAACTCAAACTCAAATCACTGGGACAAATGTTGTCATTGCATTTTCTATTTCAGAAAAATCCAATGGTTAACACAATTATCGTAAGAGCAACTGTTTGCTGCAGCACCAGAGAGAATTAGGATGCTTTTGATGACTATGAAGCGTACCAAAATGAACGTTCCCAAAGTAAACAACAACTCATATACTGATTCCATTGTTCATCATAATTCCAGTGATTCTTAATTCTTTCATTGCATCTTCCATTCAACAGCTTGTAAATTCACAGAGAGTAAACCACATAAACGTCCTGAAAGCTAAATCCTCTTCCAATTTTGACAAACAGACAGACGAGTCCCAGCGAATTAAACTCCAAAAACAAAAATGACCTAACAAAATCGAAGCAAATAATTTTCTGGAAGAACCAACTAACACAAAATAAAAAATGAAACAATGGCGCCAAAGGAGATAATCGACGATTTCTTTCCCTTTTTTCACATTTTCTTTGTCCTTTTGGGGTGTATAAGGAAACAGGCAAGTGTTGAAACTTACAAAACATGGATCGTGCTCCATTAAGCAGCTGCTCTGATATCTTAAGATGGAAACTTGGGGGAGTAAAGCGATTCATACCCGTAAATGCTGCAGCCTTTTCTGTGTTGCAGTCGTCGAGTTCCAATTGCAGCGCCGTAGAATTATTTCGTGTTTTAAGCCCAGCCCAATTTATTTATTGAAACAAGAAAACCCATCAAATTACAGTTATTTCGTATTTAATGGACTTATAAACTCCAAACTATTTAATATATACAAAAAATATATTTTTTTTCAATTATTTTAATCATTTTTTACTCTAAATTTTACACACTATTAAATTTTTTGATAATTCACAAAGCTATTTTTATTTATTACAAAAATGTAAAAATCTCTATAAATTTGTTAATTTAAAAAAAATATAAAGATTAACCCAAAATAAAATTTGATTAATGTTCAAATTAACACAAACAAAGCTATTTATTTATAATCATATCAAATATATAATATTTATATGTTTTAGAATTTATTAAATGAATATGCAAAAAAAAACATTTTTTTATGTGGAAACTTATAAAAAGGTTTAAATTGTAATAATTTAATAATCTAAAATTAAAATATGATAGGATGAAATTGGAATTTTAAGATTTTCAATTTTAATTTTAAAGGAGAAAATCGAGGCTTTATTATTATTATTATTTTTTATTTATTTGTGATTTTGAATATAATGAATCTTAAAAATTGCAGTACATCGATTTGGCAACGCGCGACGACCAGCAATCGGAGAGACTCAGAGCGGGAAGAGCAGAGAGTGAGTGTTCCAAGGTAAGATTTTTTTCTCGAACGAATTTTCATTAGAATTTCAGCATCATTTCGATTTGGTATAGTAACTAACTGATCCTGGCAATTTGAAGAGGAAATTATGGAGAGACGCCGGGCTTGTGTTGTGGTTCTCGGTGATCTTGGTCGAAGTCCTCGTATGCAGTACCAAGCTCTTTCTCTTGCCCGCCAGGTATCATCGAATCGTTTTCTCAATTCAGCCTTGATCGTTGTTACTAAATTCATTGTCCCTTAGGTGTATGAGAATGTTCGATTTAGCTGCTTATTGTTGGTTTCAATGATTTCAGCGTATAACTTGAAGATTTTCTTGATTTGGTTTGTTTCTGTATTTTTGCTGTTTTATATTCAACTCTTTAATTGGGCTTTTCGATTGATATTACAGGCAAATCTGGAGGTGGACATTGTTGCTTATGGAGGTTGAACCACACTGTATCTTAAGAGTCTTATTATTCAATCATGTTTATAAAAAGCTAACATTGAAACTTTGGGTGCTAAATAGGCTCTCAGCCCCACTCGGCACTTCTAGAGCACAAATCTATCCATGTTCATACCATGGTACTTATGTAGAAGCTTTTTTCTCCTTCTTTCTCCTTTTTCAAATAAAATAGTGCCGTCTACTAGTTTTTTTCAAATCTCTTTTGTTGTTTATCACAGACACAGTGGCCAAAATTCCTTCAAAATTTGCCATGGATATTCCGGCCTGTAACACTACTGCTCAAGCCGCTCATTCAGTTTCTTATGCTTCTTTGGTTCCTTATTGTTATAATTCATTCACCTGCCTTCTTCATTGTGCAGGTAAATAAATGGTTTCAAAATTATGATATATCCAACTTCTTGATTAAATCATATTTAAACAAATATATATGTAGTTTCTGGACATTGAGTTATCCTTTGATCTCTTTTGAACGATCTGTACTCCTCTCTTAAGGAAAGAGAGAGAGTTTCTTGATGGTAAAAGCATATGATTGTGCTTCATTTCAATATTTACCAAAAATTGAAAATTTAGTGAGCATATATTAAGCCATTCATGAAATGTTATATGATTGATTTTGTCTTTTTTCCCTAGCAGAACTTGCTTCTGAGTTGTATCAAAGTAATGATTGTTGCTAAAATTCCCAAATAATTTGGTTGGGTTCATTTGCCTGCAAATAAACAGATGATTATTTGCCTGGTTTCCTCTTTTACTGTGTTTTGGCGTATTTTTATGGGGCATTGACTAACTGTGTTTGCTGGGATGCACGTGCATATTTTGCTAGTATTACTGCACGTTACAGAAGTTGTACCTTCAGGTTCAGTGATGGGATGTTTGATGTATGTACTTAAGAATAAGAATTGGTTTATCTCACTCCTCCTGCAATAAATTATTTCTTGTATATTACTAGCATTTATCGCTCATTTCCCTTTTTGATTATTTGGGTCTTGATGGAGTATGGAAAGTGATGGTCGAATTTTCAGTCTGCTGTTTGGCCCTTTTCCTGTAACTGGCTGATGTTTTGCACAAACTCATTATCTTGATGTAGTTTTCATTCATATGAGACTTGGTTAAAGAAATTTATATTAACATCTGTTTTTCTATTGTACTTTTTTAAGAGTTACCGTTTATTTTGATTTTTATATGAACCATACGCTTTTTACAATAATCCTCTATGAGTATTTCTTCTGCAGAATCCTCCTTCTGTTCCGACGTTAATTGCTGTAAAATGGGCTAGCATACTAAAGCGATCTGCATTTATCATTGATTGGCATAATTTTGGTCATACTTTGCTTGCCCTGTCCCTGGGAAGAAATAGCAGTTTTGTTACTGTTTACCGCTGGTACTGAATATGTTTTTCCCGCCCTCTTGTCCATTCAGTATGTGGTTGGCTGGTCTATTGTTGGCTATATCATAATTGGGATGTGTGCCTAGGATTGAAAAGCATTTTGGGAAGATGGCAGATGGCTCCTTTTGCGTCACGAAAGCAATGCAACATGAATTGGCTGAAAACTGGGATATTAAGTAAGAGGATGTGACTTATGGGTTCATGGAAACGTAGTCATACTTCCTCTAATAGACCACTTGAACACTTTAGTATTATTAATAATTATTTTCGTTTTTTTTTCCCCTTTTTATTTTAAAATAGAGCCACAGTTTTCTATGATCAACCTCCTGAGTTTTTCCACGTTGCTTCACTCCAGGAAAAACATGATGTGAGTTATGGTCACCTTTATGGTTTCATTCTCTGTACATGCTGTATGATAAATAGACTAAATGTGTTGTTCGATTTAGTTGTTTTGTAGGCTACATAGTAATCTACTTCAACCTCTTGGTCTTCAAGATTGTGTTAGCTATGGTGAGATCTACATTTCAATGAATGTATTGCACATATTCTCAGTTCGACAAAATTTTCCCTTTTTCATTCAAGATGACACTGTAATTAGCAGGTGCAGTAACGGTAGGCCATGAGCAGCAGGAGACATTGTTAACGAGTTTGGTTGGCAACGGTATTCTCTTGAAGCAAAACAGACCTGCAGTTGTTGTGAGCAGCACAAGCTGGTTAGTTGAACGTTTGACTAATGATTCTTGAAGAATTGATAGTTTTCACTTCTTTTTCTTGGAGGATGTTCTGTGTTTGTGCTTTCAATTTTTTATTTTTTATTTTTGGTGTTTTTTGGTCGTTTGATTGTTAAAGTGAATATGATAGTTTGTACTGTAATTTGTCAGGATGGGATGGGATATAAAATCTGAATCTAGATAACTTATATTTGGTATGCACATAGGTTGCACCCCCAAGAATGACATCCATGGATGTCTGGCTTTGCTGGAATTTATATGCCCACCCAAATTAGTAAGTTTGAGGATTCTCCTCCTATAGGATCCTGGATTGATAACTACGATTCTTGTAATCATGTTTGTGTTAGATATATTTTGTTCATAAGCAATGACATTTCAGAATTTAAAACGAAGCACCTTAAGATAGTTTTGAACCATGGTAAGGAAGAGAGTTCAAACGAAAGGTTGGGACTTACAAATTTCTCTCTGGAAGCACCTATTGAAGATCAGTGCCTTAACTTCCTGTAATGTCATTGTCAGGACTCCAGATGAAGATTTTAGTATCCTTTTAGAAGCTGCAGTCATGTATGACAGGCGTGTTGCTGCCATCCTAAATGAGGATGATTCAGTTTCTGATGAATTTATCTGGAAAGATATCTATGATGGAAAGCAATACTTATATCCTAGGTTATTATTCATCATTACTGGTAATTACTTTTCACCTTTTGAAAATTTTACTTCCAAGTGGGCGGTATCTAAATTAGAGATTTTCCACTGTTTATACAGGTAAAGGGCCTGACAAAGAAAAGTATGAAGATAAGATCAGTAAATTGCACCTTAAGCGTGTGGCATTTCGTACAATGTGGCTGTCTCCAGAGGATTACCCATTACTTCTCGGTAGTTTGTAATAGCCTAAGGTTACCCCCCCCCCCCCCCCCCCC